CGGTCGGTGCCCGCCGCCCAAATGCCTTTGAGATCGTCTGTGGGATGGAGCCTCCGGTTGCACCGAGCCTGAGCCTCACTCCCGATTCGCTCCCGCCCTCCTAGTGACTTTCTCATTCTCCCCGGATACATCGACTTCACTGCAGACCAGGTGGTGAGTATGGCCGGGAATTGGGTCCTTCGCGTTCAGACCGGGTGAGGGGCTGCCGTGCCTTGTCTGCCTCCCCAGATCGGGTTCTGGGGAGGGGCTTAGCTTGCAGGTCGTGCAGGTCTTGTTTTGTGGGAGACGGGGCACCATCGTGAGTTGTGTGGACTGTTTTCTCACATCGGCTGGCCTTGTATCCTCAGGACCTGACCTCTGCTCTGACCAAAAAGATCACCCTGAAGACCCCCCTGGTGTCCTCCCCCATGGACACGGTCACGGAGGCGGGGATGGCCATCGCAATGGCGGTGAGCACCGTGGGGCGGAAGGGCGGAAGCAGGGGGCTCTTCCCCAAAGGCATGGTCATGCCGCTCGTATTTTTGTCCATTTTCCCGTCATTTTCTTATTCTACAGCTGACGGGTGGCATTGGCTTCATCCACCACAACTGCACACCTGAATTCCAGGCCAACGAAGTTCGGAAAGTGAAGGTCAGAAGGACAAGGATCATGGGCAAGAGCCCCTGGGAATTGCGCTGAGGTGGGGTGGGGGGTGTTTGGGTCCTAAGGACCCTTTTTCCCACCGTGGAGCTGAGTTCCTGAGCATAGGAGCCTGGGGTGGGTCTTAAGGCAGCAGAAGAGGACCAAGTGAACAGCACCTACACGACCCCCCCCCCTCCTATCCCTGGGTGTGAGGTGTCGGTTTGATTTGGTCCCGTGGCACTGCCAAAGGGAGAGTTGGCACAAACTTGTTTTCAGACCTAGAGCCGATGAAGGTGATTCGGAAATGCCCATTCTCGTCTCTTCCAGAAATACGAGCAGGGCTTCATCACAGACCCCGTGGTGCTGAGCCCCAAGGACCGAGTGCGGGATGTGTTTGAAGCCAAGGCCCGGCATGGCTTCTGCGGCATCCCCATCACCGACACGGGCCGGATGGGCAGCCGCCTGGTGGGCATCATCTCCTCGCGGGACATTGACTTTCTCAAGGAGGAGGAGCACGACCGGTTTTTGGAAGAGGTGGGCGCACTGGCCAAGCTGTTCCGGGGCCAGACGAGGACGGGAGCCTCTGCCTCGTGGCGTCTCTGATGGTCTCTGCTGTCCAGGAAAGACGAGTGCCTGGCCAAGTTTCTGATCCTTCCATCGAGTTCCACCACCCCACCCCCTACACACACACACACACTGGAGGCCTCGGTCTGCCCAGACGTTGGCCAGCGTGCACGCTGTGTTCGTCCAGCCCCAGGGTGAAAGCAGTGCTCAAGGACCAACTCGGCCTCCACTTCTAATTTTCTTGTTATTGATCTGGTGTGGCCCTTCTTTCTCCTGACAGTGTAACAGGCTACTCTACATACCGTAGTGTCCCTTGTATATATATGTAAATTTCAGAGAGGGAGGGAGAGAAAGATAGAAACATCAATGAGAGCGCATCATTGGTCGCCTGCCTCCTGAACGCTCCCTACTGGGGATCAAGCCTGCAACCTGGGCAGTGCCCTTAAGTGGAATTGAACCTGGGACCCTTCAGTCTGCAGGCCGGCGCTCTATCCACTGAGCCACACTGGCTAGGGCCATAGTGTCCTTTCTACTCAATTCTCATGCTCACCACTAGATTGCTGCAGACACTGCTGGGTTCACTTGAGGGGGTGGTTTGGGTAGTGAGTGAACATGGTGGTCTTTGGAGTCAAGGGCAGGCCTGTTGGGAGGTCTGGTCTTCAGTTGGCCCTTCCTCACAGCTCCCCTCCCTTTCAGATCATGACAAAGAGGGAGGACCTGGTGGTAGCCCCTGCAGGCATCACACTGAAGGAAGCAAATGAAATCCTGCAGCGCAGCAAGAAGGGTGAGTCCGCGAGGCAGGAAGGGTCCTGTCACGGAACACCAGGGTCCTGACTCGTGTCCTGCTGTGCCCTCAGGCAAGCTGCCCATCGTAAATGAAGACGATGAGCTGGTGGCCATCATTGCCCGGACAGACCTGAAGAAGAACCGCGACTACCCACTCGCCTCCAAAGACGCCAAGAAGCAGCTGCTGTGTGGGGCGGCCATTGGCACCCACGAAGACGACAAGTACCGGCTGGACTTGCTGGCCCAGGCCGGCGTGGACGTGGTCGTTTTGGTGAGCTGCCGGCCGCACAGGATGGGGCGGGAGGGGCTGCCGCCGCGAGGTCTCATGGGCACTTCCTCCCTGTTCCAGGACTCCTCTCAGGGGAACTCCATCTTCCAGATAAACATGATCAAGTACATCAAAGAGAAATACCCGAGCCTCCAGGTCATCGGAGGCAATGGTGAGGCGGATGGCGCTGGGGACGCGGGCGAGCAGGGGAGCGAGGCTCCCACCTAGACTTCACCTGAGCCCGTTCTCCATTGCAGTGGTCACCGCTGCTCAGGCCAAGAATCTCATCGATGCGGGTGTGGACGCCCTGCGGGTGGGCATGGGCAGTGGCTCCATCTGCATCACCCAGGAAGGTAAGATGCTCTGGCAGGACCCTCAGCTCCACAGGCCTGGAGCCAGGTGCTCTCAGGGGCCCTAGTGAGTCCTCGGTAGGGGCAGCCCCAGGGCCAGCAGGCCCCTTGGATGGGTGACATGCTGGCAGCCAGACGAGCTCTCGTCTTTCCTCGTTCCCATTCCCCCGCCTAGCCTGGCCTCCTTGCTCCTGCTCTGCGCCCTCTCTAAACTCTGGTCTGTTTGTTTCATTTAGCAGCTCCCAAGATCCCTCCAGACATAAAGTCCCACAGCCCCAAATGCCCTTCTACTGTCTCGGGGTGCTATAGTAAGTCCGGCCCGGCCCACTGGCCCGGCCCAGCTGCCCACTGCCCGGCTGCTTGGTTGACTGTAGCTGTAGCTCCCGGGGTTTGTGATGCTGACGGGGTGGGCAGGGCAGACTGAATGACAGACCATGGTTTTGGGGGGCTACTCAAAACCCAGCCCCTCACTCCCAGGGTGCTTACAGGGCAGGCCCTCTCCCCAGCAGGCCCTGCTCTGCCCACAGCTGCAGTCGGGCACAGCTCAGGGACCAACTCGAGCACCCTCTTCTTTCCACGCGACCGCCCCTCTCTTGCCTGAGCTGCCCACCGTGTAGGGAGGAAGGGAGGGCCTCGGGTACTAACTGCACAGTGACCCTACCCACCTGATGCCAGGTGGGCGGGGCTTTCCCGGCTGCTGACTGCATGTCCCTGAGGCTGCCCTGGCCATGCAGTGCACGTGCACACGGTGAGTGGCGGCCACCACAGCTGTTTGTATTGTTTGAGACAGAGGTGCAGCCGCCCCAGACGTGACTCGTCCTCAGCCAGGCTGCAGTCCTGGTGCAGGTGTAGCTGAAAGCTGCTGGCCGCAGCTGTGGCCACAGGGCCCCTTGCCTGTCCCCACCAACTCCACCCGCCCATCTGTCCCTCCATCTTTTCACAGTGCTGGCCTGTGGGCGGCCCCAAGCCACGGCAGTGTACAAGGTGTCCGAGTACGCGCGGCGCTTCGGCGTTCCTGTCATCGCTGATGGAGGAATCCAAAATGTGGGCCACATCGCCAAAGCCTTGGCCCTCGGGGCCTCCACAGGTGAGGCCCAGCGCCTTGGGAGCCTGGTGGGACCCCTTGCCCATGGCCAGGCAGGGCTGCCCCCAGCACTCCCTCTCTCCCCAGTGATGATGGGCTCCCTCCTGGCCGCTACCACTGAGGCCCCTGGTGAGTACTTCTTCTCCGATGGGATCCGGCTGAAGAAGTACCGCGGTATGGGCTCTCTCGACGCCATGGACAAGCATCTCAGCAGCCAGAACCGCTATTTCAGGTGGGACAGGAAGGTCAGTTACCTTCTGCCACCCCTGCACTGGCAGCTTCATCTGTGCTTTGACCTTGACCCTGTCTCTTGCCTCTCACTGCAGTGAAGCTGACAAAATCAAGGTGGCCCAGGGGGTGTCTGGGGCGGTGCAGGACAAAGGGTCCATCCACAAGTTTGTCCCCTACCTGATCGCCGGCATCCAACACTCCTGCCAGGACATTGGTGCCAAGAGTTTGACCCAAGTCAGGTAAGCTGGGGAGCTTGCACGTGGGCAGAGAGGCTGCCCCAAGGCCGGCTGCCACAGCTGCCACCTGCCCTTCCAGAGCCATGATGTACTCTGGGGAGCTCAAGTTCGAGAAGAGAACGTCCTCCGCTCAGGTGGAAGGTGGCGTCCACAGCCTCCATTCGTAAGTGACCAACCGTTCCCACCCGCCCCAGGGGTGGAGGTCCCTGCTGTGCCTGCCGCCCTCACCTCACAGCTGGTCCTCTGTCTACAGGTATGAGAAGCGGCTTTTCTGAAAAGGGATTCCAGCATAGTTCCTTGGTTTTTCAATAAAAAATTGAAAAAAGTGATGCCTGGTCTTTGAGGTCAGCAGGCAGGTGGGGCTCCGCCGCTGCAAGCGTCGCACAAGCACGAAACACAGCACCCGGTTTCCAGGGGGAGCCTCAGCCCTGGGGTCGGGGTGGCTCCAGGGACACGGAGGGGGCAGATCAAAACGTCCCTCCTGAGGCAGCTCACAAGCCAGCCCTGAGCAGCCACGACTCCCGAGAGTCCAGGGTTCGAGCTCAGGGTGACTCGCTGCTTCGGGGTCAGGTCCACGGGGCTTGGGACCAGCATCCACAGAGCCTCTGCTGGCCCAAAGCTTGGCCACACGGGTCCAGGTTGAGACCCTCACGCGTGTTGTCTAGACTGAATCTGTAAACCTTGTGGGGAAATCGAGACCACTTCCAACCTGCTTGTGAGCAAGTGGGCAGATCCGTGGTTTGGGGGGGGCACGGCCTCGGCCTCTGCTGGGCCGTGTAGCTTAGATGAAAGGACCCCCTGGTTCCTCACAGGCCCACTGAGCGGCAGCCCCTGGCCAGAACGCACCCAGCACAACATGACACGAGTGGATTAAGTTATTAATTGGCGGCTAAGCAGACATGCATCACAGGCTGCAGGGAGGGGCTCTGCGCTCCGCGGGTGCCAGGCGCTACTGGGAAGGTCAGGGATCCCTGGAGCTTCACTCGGCAGCGTGGGCCAGAGGTGCGAGCACAGTCCCGCCAGGTGGGGGGATGAGAGCAGCTCCTGTCACTCGGCCTTCATGACACAGGAAGTTGAAAGTGGCACAAGCATTGGGCTGCAGAGAGAACCAGCATCAGCTGGGCTGGGCCGGGCCGCGCTCCCCTCCCCGCAGCACCCGCACGTCCCCTCCCGGCAGCACCCCCGACTGACCGTGTCCTGCACCTCCACGGCGATGCCCCGCTGCCTCATGGCGCGCAGCACCGGCGGCGGCAGCCTCTCGGCGCGGTCTCCGGTGCCCACCACCACAATCTCTAGGGCGGGACGGACACGGCAGGTCTACAACTAGGCCGCTGGCGGGCCGGGCGCACCCCAGCCCTTCCCTCCTCCGATACCTATCGGGGGCTCCAGCATCCAGAAGAGAGAGAGGCTTTCTTCCGTGATGTCCACGTGGGAGCCGACCTGTGCAGGGAGGGGACAGGTTACAGGCAGCAAACCCACGCAGGTTCCCCCTGCGCCCGGCCTCGGCGTCCCGCGGCGGGAGGGCTC